CGCTGAACGTAAGTCAAGGTGTTCGAAACTGGATCTTATGCTGAATCAATTAGTCAAAAATTATGAGTAATCGGGGATTACCTTTGTGAAAGTTCTTGCGCATATATATATATAAGTAATATTCCTTGGTAGAAGAATAGTAGCAGTCCAACATGGTATAATGTTAAAATCATATCTTAAAGTACATTTATTTTGAGAGATGTCAATCCAAATCGGAAGTTAAGACAATTAATTTGCAACTAGAGCTTGACTTGCAAACTCATACAAGTGTTTGGTTTTATTTTTATATATAAATATTTATCTTGTATAAGTGATAATATATATTTTTATAACTTATTTGTATTAAATAATGATTTACTAGGATATTTTAATCAAAATAATTATAATTTATATTGAATAATTTATTTTCTTGTAAACCGTTAGTTGTATCACCCATATTTATGAATATGATTCGTCGCTTTCTGTAAATGTATTCTATTTTATATGAATCAAAATTTTGTCATTTTTTTCATCAACATAAACAAACTTATAAAGATTCTATAAATCAAACTGATAACTCTTCATCCATAGGAACGACAAACGATGATTGCTTATTGGCACTACGTGCAAGACTGTTTGTCTTTAAAATATGTGTTCGTGGTATATGAATGAGCTCTAAGCTGTGGAAACTTCCTTTCAGAATCTTGATATTTTCTAAATAACTGGCAAAGACTGGCCAATATTCTAATTATGAAACCATCTTCACCAATTGAGAATAATCTGTTGCAAAAATAACATGAAACTAACATAAATTCCTCATACATTCCATTGGTCATATGAGCGCTTCTACTTCTGAGTCAAGGGGTGAAAGGCTCACCCTGGTGTTCCTTGCCTCCATTAGGCTATCAAAGCCTTCTAGTATACTATAGCAACCTTGCCCCGAAAAACTTTCATGAACTTTTCATGACCTATCCGTAAAGCACAATTTTCCCGGTATAGAAAGTGAAGTTGTCACCTCCACCTCTCTATGTTGGGTGATCCTTTGAGTGAGTAAAACTTGTGCCTCAGTCCAAAACATGTGCCTCAGCTCAAAGCATGTGTCTCAGTCCAAATTATTTGATCTAAACTATAATAAAATTTTCTTATATACTATTAAAAATTTAGTGCTATATATTTCATACTGTTTAGCATTTATCGTATTGAATTTGCATGGCTATTACTTATATAAAAATATACGTAAAATAATATATATATATATATATATCATATATAGATATGATTCTTTCAAATTTAGGTATGTTTTATGGTTGTATTATTTGATAAAAAGATAATAAATGCTGAAGTTAGAATTAAGCAGTTTTTAATGGCATTAAAATATAATTAATTAATTTTTTTAGTTAATAATAAATTTTAGAAATGTATTAATAAAATAAGAACAAACAAAGAATCTAAAAAGTATGTTTGTTAATTACTTAAATGACATTCTATTGTATAGAAGTGGTATATATTAGGGGTAATTCTTATTTGTACCTTTTATTAATAAGATAGATATATGATAAGATGTCCAACTCTAATTAAGATGAGACATTTTGAGAAAAAAAATCAATAACAAATTTGCGCGGACTTATGTCTTAGGCTCAAGGAAAAAAATATCGTAGTAATTGGAAATATATGAGTGGACATGGGCTAAAAACAATCCAACATATTTGAATATTTTTTAGTTATTAAATGACGAATATACTCATATCTTTTTCATATAAAAAAATATTTTTAGTAATTTCAACTAGGCAGCCTATTTAGTTTTTTTTTTGACACGAACGGCTATTCTATTATTCAAACTTGAGGTAGTCTGGATAACCAGACCGAAATAGATCAACCAATGAAATGTAGTTCTCTATGGACAAACCTGACAGTCCTAGTCAAAAAATCTGAAATTCTATTTTGCACTCTTGGGATATTAGAGATCTTGAAATGTGAAATACATATCTGAAGAGTCTTAATCATCTCTAATTTTATTGCAAAGCTTGGCCATGCTAAAGGCTGCTCAGTTATCATGATCCGGTCCATACAATCCGTTCTAAAGCTCTGGCATGTTGAATGCTGTAACATACTCTCATTTGCCCATCCTAGTGCTTCCACTTCTATATGCAAGGCATATTCTCGGCATCTCAAGTTTTGAATCTTCCCCAAACTGTACATCCAAACCCAACCGGAACCATTAAACTGGGCTGTGGAAGTCCATGAACCGTCCACCATACAAATATTACACAAGCTTAAGACTTGAGATTCCTCAATATTATGTGCTTCTGAATTAGAAGTTACTATCTCATTTGGAGCAAACCATGCTTAACATTAACTTTCAGCGTATTGAACTAGCTCCAAAGGATCCTTGCCTATCCCCTTGAAGAGTTTATCATTCTTAGCTTTCCAAATATACTAGATTATCCAGGGATAAGGATCTCTGTCCAATTTTGGTTTAACAATGTAATTCTTCCTCTAGAAAAGTTAATCCTTAGTGGCATAAATACTTGGTGACGAAAAGATATCATGGCTAAAAGGTCTTGTTGATAGCTAGTGACCATGCTTGTAAAGCCGATTGATATTCAAATATGGTATGTGTGACAGTTTCCTCTAGAGTGCCACATCTTGGACAATAATTATCACATCTCATATTGCGACTTATCAGATTCCTCCTTACCGTCACATGTCATGTTATAAGTTGCCACATAAGATGACATATCTTCTTTGGTGCTTTTTCTCGCCAAGCAAAGGCTTGTAGCTTGGTTATATTGAGTTCCAAGACCTCCTACTCTTCCTCATTTCATAGTATATTACGAGTTACCCAATATCTAGATTTTACAGTTTACTGGTCGTTTTTTTGTGTAGATCCAGCAGAAAATGTCCCAGCGATGAGTTGAGCTTATGGCCAAACTTTGAATAAAGGATATGTAATAATGGAAAACATAATTTTCCAGTCATCCAACATCCCAATATTTAGATCCTCCAGAAATAAGATCGTTAACTCGCATTTTCAGGTGTAGACTGGGGCAAAAGGCCGTGCTGGCCTAGTTGGTGTCTGTTGGATTCTGTTCAGTAGTCTATCCTTGAGGAATGCAAAAATCTTGCACTTGGATCCACTTATGTCTTCTGGAATTCCTAAGTAGGATCCCATTTCTCCTTCGTTGTGGATTTCAAGTGTATTTTTAATTTGTTTTCTAACATCTCTAGCAACCCTCTTACCAAAGAGTAAAGATGATTTATCAAAATTTTGTGAATTGACCTGATGCTTGTCCATATTTCTGGACTGATTTCATAATTACATATTCACGGGGCTCCGTCTTACAGATGAAAATGCTACCAACAGCAAAGAGATGGTAAGATATCAAGGGACAACTGCATGTAACACACATCCATGTTATCTTCCCTTGGTTCTCTATATGATTAAGAAGTCTAACAAATATTTCCGTGTAAAGAATAAATATGAAAAGAGATAAAAGATCTTCTTGACGTAGACCACTCTCCAGAATAATATTTCTCCTCGATTGACCATTCATAAGTACATTGTATTTGACTGAAGAAATGCACACAAGTCAATCCACGTATGCAAAAACCCCATTTTGGCATTATTCCTTCGATGAATGACCACTCCATCTTATCATATCTGTAATTTGTTTTCCAATAACAAAAGATAACTGGGTTTTAAAGTTCGATAAGGTAGGATTTTCTTCGATCATTGGCATATGACCTTAGAAATTAACTTATAACTAACATTGCACAAGCTTATAGAACGGAAATGAGACATTTCTGTTGACTAAATGATCTTTGGGATTAAGAAAATATTGGTATCCTTCAGTTATTTTTACAATTTCCATCATTTTAAATTTATTTCTTAAATATAGCAAAGAATTTTAATTTATCAAATAACTAGTGAGTTTAACATTAAATAAATAAAAAAATTCAAGATTTCTAAAGTTTTGTCCGAGCATGCCAAATTGCGTTTGTCAAGAGCTGCCCATTGATCAACGTTATTGCTGCAAAATTACCCACTTTGTCCGTGTTTTAAACATCAACTCAAGCTTTCTATCTGAGTGAGAATATTATTATTCAATTTCTAGATATCTTTCAAATAATTTGCAAATATAGACTATTCTTCGGATTCTAAAACTATTTTCACCACTTGAAAGCAGTCTGTTGCAATCTAACATGAAACTATCGTAAATTCTTCATATTCTCCATGATCCAATTGAGTGCATCTATTTTCGTGTGGAGAGATCTCAAACTGGACCTCATATTTCTTACCCCCAGTTGCTCATCAAAACCTTTCACAGCACTTCATTATTTATATTAGTTGAATAATTTAATTTAGATATAGGTAAAAGACATATTATTAAAGTTCTTAATCATTTTTGTTAAATAATTAGTTTAGCCAAATTTTCAAAAATCACAACTTTAAGATTTAAGAATATAAACTAATTCTGAACCCATCAAACATACATTTTTAAACCTAAAATTTGTTTAAGCTAAACTCTATCTAACATACAAAAGCTAAACAGTTAACAAATAGCCACCAATAATTAGAGGATATATAAAGATTAAATTTGTTAAATAACCCAAATAGATAACATAATTGATTACCTAGGTATGTTATTTCTGTATTTAGGAATTTAATAAATAATACACAAGCTGGGGTATTTTCTCATTATATATTTTCACTTTAAATCTTAGCATTAATTTAACCTCAAGTTTAATAAATATACTAATAATTATTTCTGGAGGAAATCTCCAAAAAATAACATTCTAAAAAAATATATATTATTATACTGAATGAAAATTTAAAGTAATACTTTGTAAAATATTTAGAGCTTGAGATATTTTTTTTTGGGAGAGATTCCCATTAGAAATCTCTAATATATTATTTTAATATGAGTGCAAATTTTTAATGTTGGCTTATTATGAACCAAAGAAATGGTATGTATTTACCAAGTTATGGCTAGTTAACTGGCCACCAGTGAGAGAGACAGAAAGGGTCAGAGAAACTGAAATTTCAGACAAAAGGATTTTAGAACCTCCACAAGAAAAAAAAAAGAAAAAAGAAAACACTCAATGGAGACTTCAAGCGTGAATCAACATGACGTATTCATCCATTTCAGCTTGGAAGAGTTCCGCTACTCTTTTGCCAGCCATCTTTCTGCTGCTTTCAGCCGGAGTAGCATCTCCGTGTTTGTCGCAGAAGACACCAGCGGCGCGGCAGTGACACCAAATACTGATTTTCAGCTACCTGATGCGACTCAGTCTGCGATTGAGGGAACTAAGTTCATTGTGGTGGTTTTCTCCAAGAACGACGCGTTCTCGCCGCTCTTCTTGGAAACGCTCGTGAAGTTCTTGGAGCGGCGTAAAGACGGCCTGGTCGTGGTGATTCCGGTCTTCTATGCTGATGTCACTCTATCAATGATTGAGCGAAAGATGGAGAGTTTCGGAGAGGCTTTTCCCGACCACCTAGTTGGAAGATGGCGAAACGGTCTGATTGAAGCCGCTAACTTGCGAGGCCATAAGTCAAGTGATCAACGAAAGTAAGTTCGTATACTTTAAATTAGTATTTTTTTCATAATCTACAAGTTTAATTTGGAAGTAACCATCCAAAGTCAATTTACAAATTTGATTTAGCTTCATTTGGTGGATTTGACAATTTAATTCTTGTGGCGATAGAGCAAACGTTATTTGGCCATCAACATTGGTGAATTGAGTTTCTTAGAATAAATTTTAATATTAAGAAATAATAACAACTGTTAAAGAAGTCTTTTTATTGAGAGTTTCTCATCCAATCTCTTAATAATAAAATAAAAAAGAAACTAAAAAGTCAGAAATAAAATGATAAACAATCAGAAAGAATAATATTATTATTGGAAAACTTTGGTAAGAAAAAAAGGAAAAAAAATTCGGTAAAAAAAATAAAAACTTATCATCTAATATCATGTCACAACGTACTAGGCGCTAGTCCAACAACTGGGTTATAAATAGCACATAGAGAGAAAATCGAAGATTAAACATATATTATGGAGAATATAATTTGTAGATTGTTTAATATATTATAAATCATGTTAGTCTTTAATTATGTAAAACATTAATATATTTTCATATTTAGAATGATATAAAATACACAAATAAAATATATAAATTTAATATGATAATTTTCATCAAAATTATGAATATAAATTATATTTATTAAATAGAAGATCAAATAAATAAAGAAAATATTATTAAAAATAAAAAATAAATTAAGTAGTCATCTAGGTGGTTATGTGATCATCTACGGAGTAAAATAAAACATCCAATTTTTTTGATCTACTTAATATAAATCGGAACGGATGAATGGTGTATAGCGCCCATACGACTAGACACCCGATTTTTATAACAAAATCGTCTATAATTTTTGGTTTGAGAGGTGGTTCATCTATATTTTTATTTAATTTTTTTAATGAAATTTCGTATTTATTCACCTAACATTTACAGAGGTAACCTACGAATGACTTGTATACTAAGAGGCATGTGCTAAAGCTACGTATAGACAAGAAGAAAACTATAAAATTCAACACCTTCCACTTTATCATTTTACACTCCACATCATATTTTTTTTCCACTTTCAACAAATATTTAATTTTTACATACTAGAATAATTTTGTTTAATAAATTTCAACATCCTATTTTACTAATTAATAAAAAAAATTTTCAATATCCAAATTGAATAAATCTACTCCCTGTTTATAGAGAATTTAAAATGATAAATTTTAATGTAAAAAATAAAAAAATTATTTAAGTAATAATGAAATTATTCATTTAAGTACTTAGGAAATAAAGTATCATTAATGGTCCCACATTTTAGAGTATTCAACTAGTTGAAAATTTTCAATATTTAAGAAAATTCAAAATAGTTTCAACTATTGAATAAAAGATTCAACTATCCCATTGTAAAGTAATCTAAAGAATGATGAAACCACCGCTGCAAAAGGCCTGCAAGGCTATGATTTGTATTTATTTACATAATTATATCTATCTTATTTAAACAAGAATATTGTTTGAAACTATACTTGCATTTCTCTACGTGATATATTACGGGAAATTTCATTTTTTAATTATGACTAAATTTTTCAGTATGAATAGTCTGGTCGGGTCATTATATACCGTTACTATGTTAATAGAATGCACCATTACATATGAAATTATTTTACCACTAAATAATATTTTAGATTTATATATTTTCTATAGTACTATAACAAAACTTAATAAATTTTCTTAAGTTATACTGTTTAAATTCCTAATTGTTATAAAAATATTATCAATAAATTTAGTTCACTTTTAGTTTTTAAAAACATACTATAATATATAAATTATTAAATAGGTTAAAACTACTTTCAAGAGTTTATAGATTTTAAAAACTTAGTATTATTATAACTTATAAAACAATTGAGCATATTATAATTTTATTCATTTTTAGCTTAGATATTTTTTGTCACCAAAAATTAAAAAAAAAGATAAAGGTATAAATATAAATTAAATATATTGAGTTCTAAAAAAATATACTATAATATATAAATTATTAAATTGAGTAAAAACTACTTTCAAGAGTTTATAGATTTTAACAACTTAGTATTATTATATCTTATTAAACAATTGAGCATATTATATTTTTAATATTCATTTTTAGCTTAAAGATTTTTTATCACAAAAAACAAAAATCTAAAAGGCATAAATATAAATTAAAATTATATATCTTGAGTCTTTAGGCCCATTAGTTTTTGTAGAAAAATGATTTCACGTTTTTAAAGTGAGGAAAATCTAGTGAGAAAGAAACATTCCGGAGAAACTTTTTAGTGGGACCGCTGTGCAAACTGTGAATTTCTTTGAAGTCTATGATTTATCTCACTAGCATTGTATGAATATGAAATATAGCTAAAAGTAGCACATGTATATAAGATCAAATAACGAACATAATCATGTGTTAATTAATAACTTGCAGTGACTCGGAGTTAGTGGACGAAATTGTTGCAGATGTGCGCGAGAAGATGTATCCAACTGGTAAGATCGGCTTTTATTCGAGGTTTCTTGGGATTGAAAACTTGCTTCGCAAGCAATCTCATGACATCTACCGGCTGGGGGTATGGGGTACGCCTGGTGTAGGCAAGACTACCATAGCTCAAACAGCCTTTAACCTAATGTCTCAAGACTTTGAAACTCATTGCTTCATAGAAGACTTCCACATAAAGTTTCAGGAGAAAGGACTATACAAATTGAAGGAAGAGCATTTCATCGAAAAACTAAGAAAGAAAACAGTTCTTATTGTTCTTGATGATGTGCGCAATCCTATGGACGTCGAGTCTTTCCTTGGAGGATATGATTGTTTTGGTCTCGCGAGTTTAATCATCATAACATCCCGAGATAAACAAGTTCTTTACCAGTGTCAAGTTGAAGGTTTGTACGAGGTAACATCCTTAAACAAGAAGGAGGGTCTACAACTATTCAACCAGTTTGCGTTTCCAGAGAAAGAACCAAGTGATAGTAATCTAGTAGAAGTGTCAAAGATGGTCGTTGAGTATGCTAATGGGAATCGTGCAGCTCTTTGCTCCTATGGTAGAGAGCTGAAGGGGATGACAAAACCAGAAGAAATGGAAGTAGAGTTTCAAAGGATCAAGCGTCATCCTCCACAAGAGATTATGAACGTTTTTAAAAGCAGCTATGATACGCTCACCGACCACGAGAGGAACATATTTTTAGACATTGCTTGTTTCTTTAAAGATGAGCAATTAGACTACATCTTGAGAATTCTTGAAGGTTGTGGGTTTTTTCCTCACGTTGGAGTTGACCGTCTTGTTGATCGGTCTCTATTGATGATATCAGAGAACAAGAAGGTGAAGATGCATAATTTGATACAAGATGTTGGTCGGAAAATCGCCAAAACAGAATGTAGTCATATTGCGAGAATGTGGGAACCGTCAAGCATCAAGTCATTACTAGAAGATAGTGAACCTAAGGTAATATTGAGTAACATTTCATTCTATATAAACACTCTTCAGGTGTCTGACTTTTTTTTTTGTTTATATTTTTTGTAGGAAACTGAATTTATTGAAGGAATATTTCTTGACACAACAAACATAAATGTTGTTGTTAATCCTAATGCATTTGAGAATATGTATAATCTTAGGCTGCTGAAGATTTACAGTTCAAGCTCTGAACCTTCTCAAGAACTATATCTCCCCAAGGGGCTAGAATCTCTGCCTTATGAGCTCAAACTACTTCACTGGGAATATTATCCGTTGCAATCCTTGCCTCAAGATTTCGATCCGAGCCACCTTGTTGAAATCAATATGCCTTATAGTCAGCTTCAATACCTCTGGACAGGAACCAAGGTAAGGCCAAACTCCGAATACACCATGTGTGTTTTTCTTTTCTTTTTGAAATAAAGTTTAAATTAGTTATCCTTAGGAGAGCAGAACCTCCCAACGGTAATTGAGCCAGTGGCCCTTATTTACGTACTAGAAAATCTAAGTTTTAGCCACTAGGTCAACTCCTCGTTGGTAACCAAGTGTGTTTTCAGTCACTCTTACATTTTCTTTTGTGTTTCAATTTGTTTTACAGAGTCTAGCAAAGTTGAAGATAATAAATCTTAGTCATTCTCGGCAACTAATTGAAGTTGATGAACTCTCAAAAGCTTGTAGTCTTCAGGAGATCGTTCTTAAAGGTTGCACAATTATGGAGCGCACCCCACGCATTGATAACCTCAAGAATCTCAAACTGCTTGATCTCTCTTGTTGTATGAGAATCAAACGTGCAGAGGTTATTGAGATGATAAAAGTACCGGAGCTAGAGGGAGGATTGAGAGAAACAGAATCTGAATCAATGGTGTTTACCACTTAGTAAAGCCTGTGGATAACACACGAGGTTTTTTTTTTTCTTTTTTTGTCAAGAACACAAGAATTTATGAGATTACGCTATTTAAAAATCTTCTATTTTGAATACCATTTGAGTCGCTCCAGATTTTTTTCTTGCTAGATAATATTCTTAATTGTTTAGGGTTACTAAGTGAAAGCGAGGTTCTATATCTAGTCTATGCAAATACATGACGAGTAGAGGAAGATTATGTAACTGAATTACCTATGGTTTATTAGGATTGTATTTTTACTCTGTTTCTTTGCTTGGTTATGGCCTTATGGTACCATGCGGACAAGCTAGTGTTACTTACTAAATAGGAAACCCTTATTTAGTGGACAAAGCCATATTTCGGACTCTTGCTTGGCTCTCATCTTTATTATCGTTAAATGAACGTTTGATACCATCAACATTTCTACACTTTGTAATATGTTTCTTCCCCACCGATGGCAGTTGTTAAACTAGAGCTCGATTGGCTATAGATTACTGTTATAAACAAACACAAATCAAGTTCGGAGAAAGTAAAAGAGAGCAAGAACGATTGAGGCAAATTTCAATTTACAGTTTGTATATTAATATCGTTACAATCTCTTGATCTTTATTTATACCAGCTTTAAAACCGTTTTTTTTTAGGAATACATACTTATCTTACAATAGTTAATTTTTCTAATCCTAAAAGGCGCGGGGGCTAAACCTTTGATTCCGCACCCCTAGATGTTAACCTTGATAGCGAGTTTATCTTCCTTGCGTCTATGAAGCCCGCATTCAGCCAGTCTACGTTCGGTCGAATGACTGTTGGGGTTTACTGATTCATAGAGATGTAAGACACTTCCGGATGCAACAAAATCTACTTTGACGAAAAATCTCTACAAAACTCTTTATTTGTCTATCTTTGAGGGAGAACCTCCTTTACTTCTTAGCTTCGGCATAAAGGAGAAAATTCAAGCAATGCTTGGACTTCTCTGTTGTAACAGGCTTGGTCAAAATATCAACTGCATTTTCGAACTTAAGCATCTTCTCCAGTAAGATTTCTCCAGAAGTTGCTAACTCCCTTGTTTTGTAAAATCTTATACGAATGTGATTTGTCCTTGCATGATAGATTTGATTCTTAACCAAACACAACGCTCTTTAACTATCAAAGTGTAACTGAACACCTCCTTGATTAACACCTAACTTGAATACAAGTACTTGTATTCATACTGCTTCCTTAGTTGCTTCTCCAAGTGTTGTATATTCAGCTTCTGTGGTCGAAATCTACAATAGGTTGTTGTATCGCTCTCCAACATATAGGTGCTCTTACAATAGTAAAAATGTACCTTGTAGTCGAGCTACTGTTGTCAAGGTCTCCACCATAATCTGAATCCATGAATCCCACAACTGAACCACACTCTTGACCTTCAAACATAAGCTCATAGTCACTTCTTCTTCGTAGGTATCTTTGAATCAACTTAACAGCATTCTAATGACTTCTTCCATGATTGGACATATACTTACTCACTTGATTAACTTCTTGTGATAAATCCGGCCTTGCACCATAGCGTACATCAAGCATCCAACTGCACTAGCATAAGGAATATGCGCCATAACTTTGAGCTCTTCAACAGACTTCGGGCATTGTTCTGGTGAAAGCATGAAGTGATTCGCCAAAGGTGTAGAACCGGACATTTTCAATGTAACTCTTTTAAGTCAACCATAATCTCTTTGAGCTTTTATCCCTGCGAATCTCCATTCTAAAAAATCTTCTTTGCAGTACAAAGATCCTTCATCTCAAACTCATCTCTTAGTAACCCTTTCAAACGATTTATATACTCCATACCGTTTGCAACAGTGAGCATATCATCAACATATAATAGTAGGAATATGGGAGAATGGTCGTCAAGGGACTTGACATACCACAACAGTCATATCTGCACCTTTGATAGCTGATCTTCAACATATATGAGTCAAAACCATGACTACCTATGTCACTAAAGTGTACTTACCTTTTCATTCGCACATCAAAAAAAATTCAGAATTAAGCATGCTTGAGCTGGAATAATAGAAGGATGGTTGACGTATCCGGAAGCGAATTGTGATATTGTTTGAGTGAAGCGGGAAAATGTCGTATAGTTATTCTAGGGTCAGTAAAAACGTCTATCAAGCCTCCAAAAAATAATGCACGATCGGGCATTACAAAATTATACATGTTTGATAGATAATGACAAACGGAAAGTTAGAATTCTAGGTTGTTAGATAACTTTGTCGATGTAGTTATAGTGAATTGCCACTGAATGGAGTTTACGGTCGAGACTAGGTTGTTTTCGCTTCCGAAATAACTATTAGCTTCATGATTTCTAAATCTCGATGAATTATTCTTGGTCTAACATTCGCTTTTATAGTTTCAACCGATTTACTTACACTAATTTTTATGTTTAATCCCAAAAAAATTGTTAAGTTCATATTGTCTTAATTACATTCTTATAAAAGTATATTTCAAATCTAGTCTATGTGGATGTGACAAAGTTCAAAGTTCTAGACATCACTCGGCCATATTCTCTCTATTTCAAATTATATGATGTTTTAGAAGGATTTATGTTACTTAAAATATATGATGTTTTGAAGTTTAAGATTAATTTAACTTTATTGAAAATTGTTTAACCAATAATATTTTTATAATTGGTTGAATGATTTAAAATTATATTTTTAAACTATTTTTAGAAGAATGTAAATTTATTAATCTTTGTGCACTAATTCAAAACATCATATATTATCAAATAGAGTGAGTATAAGTTTTGCCAATTCAAGCCATACCAACAACTCCAACAAAACGAGTTTCATCGTCATTGCAGTCAACATCCAGCTTTTCTTCCAATTGCGTAAGGCATTGTTTTCCTTGTTTGATACTGCTTGATGCTATGTTAGAGACTTCCTCAGGATTAGGGTTGTCTCCTCTTCTTCCTTGGGGTTTAACGTTTTCTTCTCCTTTTCCTTGGGGTTTAGGATTTTCTTCTCTTAGCTGTTTATCTTCGCTTAGAAAATTCTGGATATGTTTTGCTATATCATCCACGAAAGTCGCTTCGTTACTGCAGAGAAACAGAGAGGGAATCCCAATGAGGCTCATAAAATAAATGTTAGCGAAGTCATAGTGACTGTGATTTAGAAATACTGTCAAATATATTGTTATTAGAGATTTTTAGGACATGTGTTCATCCTAATTTCAAGGTGCTCTAGAGCATTTTTAGTTAAAACAAAGATTCTTGTTTCAGGTTTTAAATTATATTTCAGAAGATACATCATAACAAAAAAAAAACTTTATATGATAAACCATCAAAATATAACACATCACCCATTTAAAAATAAGTAAGAACGATTAAATACAAAATACATATGAAATGACTTTTGTGAGTCAATACTCAATTTCCTACATATAATGTTGTGTTACATTTTATAAGTTTTTTTCGTATAAAAAACACCAACCAAAGATGATTAATATGAAAACCTCAACTATTTTTTTTTTGTTATTGGTTTTAATTCCTCCATTTAAAATTATTGTTTAATCTAAATCATGTATTTTAAACCATAAAAATGACATGTATAGTATAAAACAATTTTTAAAGTTTGTCAAACAAGATCTCAATATGAATCAAGATCCAAACATTCCCAACTGACAGTAAAATTTTTTCTATCAAATTGATATTTGTAATAACATTTTCTAACTAAACCCCCTTAGAATATCTGTTTTGAGAACCAATAATTTCAAATTTATCTAACAACATTTACCTGTTTTCTAAAAATCGCAACGCTTTCTTGCTGCTAACGTCCTGCAAAGCTGCATCCCACTTAAGGATCCGGTCGTCTCGCTTACAATGATTTTCTTTTCTCCACAGCTCCCATAGCTGAAGACCAAAACTACCCTCCAGATTCCTCACAGTGGATGTCTTTAACTTATAGAATATTGGAATAACCCAGAGAGTGCGTCGATCCACACACTCTTTTATCTTCACCAGCTCGTCCAAACACCAATCTGACTCCGTGTACTTACTGGATATGATCGCCACCGCCACCGTGGACTCCTCAATCCTTTCAAAAAGATTTTTAAGATCCTCACCTGGTCTCAAGTCATCGTCTATAAAAGCATTGATCCCATTTCTGTGCAAGACTCCATGAAGATAGGGGGCAAAGGTGCTACGCAGGTCTGCTCCTCGGAAATTGATGAACACTTGTGGTTTGACGTTGCGAGATGAGGATGCCACCATCTTTTTTTTCTTTACTTTTGTCTTTTTGGTCTGCAGTTAATTGCTTGGAGAGGCAAATGACGTCCTCTTAAATACAGCTTAGCTGACCGCGTTAATCGTCGAGATTGCAAAATATAAGAATCAAAGTCATTGTAATAATACTATACTGGTCATTATTTTATCAGTCGAGTCAAAAAACAAATTTTATTAGGAATAATACTGTTTCTTTAGAGGCTTAAAATTTTAATACCAACTAGATGATAAAAAATAGTTTGGGTTTGAATCAACGATCAGTACCTAGCCAATATAACATAAATGGTTCACTTCTGAAATTTCGTTATTTTTACTTTTGAAGGGCTTCTTGATTGTTGATGAACTTAAAAGAACTTGTATGAATAATTTTTAGTTAGCAGTATGTTGGGATTTAATTATCAAAATCTACCCTCAGAAAATGGTGTACAGAGTTTAGATTATAGTGGTTTCTAAACGTAAGATTTATATTCATTTTTTGCCGTTGTGATGTTTTTTGTTCATTTGTTTTTTGTAAAAAGTCGTTGTGATATAGTTACGATCAAAGAAGAGAAATCATATACGCTAACCAATCGTTAGTGGTCTAATGGTTTTTACTGGATGGGGAATCGTCATGTTTGGTATAGTTAAAAGATCGATTCTCTTCTCGTACGAAATTGCTAGCTTCACGTGTGGCTAGACGACTTGGATCTCTAACTTTCACAGAGAAAAACCTGACTTTCACCGGTAAACCAATCCGCAGGAGCATGATTAGTTGGGTTTCAGTCTGCATACCTCTCATGTTTAACCAAATAAACATCTATCTTGCTCTTTGATTCTTTTAAAAAATAATTTATCCTCTAAATATTCGATGCAATCTCCTCACTGGAGACGTTCTTAGCCATGAACAATTAACATGGTAAAGGCGTATAAATGAATTTTTGGATGCAAATTGAACGTACAGAAGTTTAATCTTATTTCATCGTCGTTGAATTTTTCAAAATTATAAAGATAACATCATTTAACTGATGTTATCTTTAACTCAAAACGACATCGTTTTATTTAACGACCTTAGCAAACACCGATAACTTACTGATTAAAGTTTAAAAGCCAAATACAGTAGAACCTCTATAAATTAATACTCGATAAATTAATAATCTCTTTAAATTAAATTTTACCGGTCCCAACTTGAGCCGGTTCAAAATTTGACACAAATCGATAAAATAATAAGATAATAATTTTTTAGAAAGTTCTATGTAAATATATGGTCCCACTAAAATCATAAATTAATAATTTATATTTATACATATTTTATATAAGTAATAATCTATTATTATATTGTTTGTTTTATATTTACAAGAAAATTTTCTTTATATTTTTTTGACACTTAATAAATTGTTGATGAGATTTAGTAATATTATATCGAAAACCATATTTAAATTCTATGAAATATATATTATATACACCAAGTAATATAAGAAATTTAATATAAATGTCAAATTTCAAAAAATGATGATAAATATGTATACCCTAAAATAAAATATTTTTCTTATTTTAGAATAAATATATCTTAAAATAAAAAAAATCTAAATAAGGAAACTTTGGTAAATTAATATCTCTATAAATTAATAAAATTTCAAAGTCCCGACATTATTAATTTATAGAGGCTTAACTGTATAGTTCAGTGTTTTTAACCGGGCCTCGTGGTCTGGTGGTAAAGGAACCTCGGCTGAGGTGCCCGCCATCACGAGTTCGAGCCCGGCCACAGCGGATTTAACATGGTTTCCGTTTGACCTCCAGGACCTTTCTCGCCAGTTCCGGTTGGACGCGATGGGATAGTCTGAATAAGTGAGAGGTCCGAATACCTAGACTATCAAAAAAAAAAAATAACATCAGTTGCATTTATATTAATATGTTAATAGTACCATGTTTACATATGTATCATCGTGTTTTCCTTGATGACCCAGATAAGCTTTCTTTGGCTTTTCACTCCGTTATATATATTTTTTGCTAAATTATATTGTTTAATTAGTTTTTTTGTTTTTTGGTAAAATGTTAAATTATTATACCAATTTTCAAATTTTTACAGAACAACATAGAAACAAAGAAGAAAATTGCAGAAATTAAAACTAAACACAGACAACAACATAAGGACCAAAGCATAACCACAAGCTACAACAATAAGCGATGAAAAGGGATATGAAGACCAAAACAATTGCAGGAAACAAATGTTTAACCCCCAGAAGATAGTTAGGATTCCAAGAACCTACCCAAGGTCAACAGCATTAGACAAGACTCCACAGAGCGAGCAAGAGCAGAGACTGGAGTTGAACAATGCTGAACCCAGCAACCGAACCTGAGTGAACACCGCCCCAAGGAGAACAAGTCTCCGACCACAGGCAAGGAGTGCAGAGCCAAGACACAAAACAAAGAAACGTTTGGTTATTTCAAATGTTTCAATATAATTCGGAGGAACGGATGGAATAGTGAATCTTTTAGAAACGGTATCCACCCTAAATTGTATGAAATCTGAATTTTATTTTTTAGAAATGGAATGTTTTAATAACATTTTATATCTTATATATTAAAATAGAAGTCATGACTTGACTTCATGTGTGATATTTTAAATTTTGGACCTATTCTTAGAAAGGGGAGTTATATTACATTTTTCAAACATTAATAATCTTGATATTAAATAAGATACATTATTAATATAATCTGCTTTATTCCTTTAACGATTGGAACTAACTTATCTCACGGTTATGTTTTAAGAAAACTACTATTCTTTTTGGTTTAACGCCAATTTGTAGGATTAACATATATTACTCTTTCTTTTTCTTGGACGACATATATTACTTTTATGATACCCATATCAATGATAAAATAAATTATTCTACGAAAACATATAAAAAAAAATCAAGATTACTTTTGTTTTTCAGTATGAATACTCGATAATATAAATCTGTGAAGCTACAAGTTTAATTTTTTAAAAAAATTATAAATTTGTGAAATGTTACAATATTTTTGAAGATGACAATATAAAAATATTTTACCAATCTTTATATATATAGTTATGATTTCGATAATGAAATAATAATCCAAAAAATATATATAGGAGAAGATACAAATACATGTGAAAGAAGTAGTAGGATAAGATTTTAAGATATATGGACTGATATTATGTAGAAAAATGGGTTACATTTAAGAGATAATTGGCTCATGCATCCCAAATAGACATCTATATTTGCAACTTACACATGATTTAACTTTATTATTTTTATGACGATTTTGTCCTTTCTGCACATGCATGTGACACTCTCTCTACTGGTATTCTACATTTCTCAGACCATCTAGAATGGAGACCTATTTTTTTCTCTATTATTTACACCAAAATAGAGTAATTCTATTATTGAGTAGATTTTGCTCCAATAGTCTACTCTATAATAGAGTTACTCTATTATAGAGTGAAAAATAGAGTAATGTCACTTTTCACTCTATATTTGGTGTAAATAATAGAGAAAAGAATTTACAAACAAAACATATTTTCAGAGTGATCGTTACCAATTAGGTATTGCTCTTTTTCATTTAAATAACGGAAAAGTCACTCACTAACACTAAAAAATAAATCAAAAATTCATTAACTAATTAAAATAACATTCTCTCTAGTCTTTTCGCTTCCTATTTTTCTCTACTCTCTTTCCTAAAATTTTTTTTTTCTCTTGGTTATTTGATAAATAATTCCTTTAAGTAATTGTAAAGTTATTCTAATCTTTCAGGCATCTGTAAATAGTGTTGCTTGAAACAAAATAAGAATTAAGCTAAGTGGATACAAGATAAATTGATGTAACTCAAAACCAATGGTATTTTCAAGTAACATGTTCAATCCGTGAAAAAGTTTAAGTTTAAGAATTAAATTGTAAGTTTTACTAATGAACATAGTATTGTGAAAGGCAATCTTGAATTTTTGTTTAGTTTTCAATAAAAAATTCAATTTTTTTCTTTTGGTTTGAGGGCATCATTTTATTGTTGCGCTTTAGGCACCATCAGAACCGGCACTGGGTGCCGATGATCACCGCTATTGGCGCCTCATGAATATTAAGTTTTACTTTGTATCCAAAGTTATAAGCGGTTTTGTCAAATGTCAGCTATAAGAGGCATGTGCGAGATAAAATGCGAGACTTGGTCTCGCTTGTTACTTTTTTTTTTCTTTTGACATCCGCTTGTTGTCGCTTGTTACTTTTTTTTCTCATGGGAGCATGAGAAAACAGATGACAACCATAATCTACATCAGATTATTTTTAAGTTTAGTTGTACTCTTTTATGAACCACTGAACAAAATAATGAAGACGAAGCACCATTCAACATGTCAATTGCGTATCTTCAATAGTACCAAATTGCATTTGTTAACGCAAGCCGTATCAATTTATAACTAACAATTGGGTATTTATTTACGGTATATTATAGTGTGTTGTTCTGTCCTTGTTAAGGCTATAAAGTTGTAATTTTCTATTGGCTTATTCATTTGATGCGGTGGCATAAGATGACAATGCGAAAAATAGTTCCGTAAACACTATTTGAAAAATGATTTGTCGTGTGTTATCACTATATTAATTTTGAAAAAAAATAATGATAACATGAACATTTATATTTGACGATGATCTATATTTTTTTTCTTAGTTTCTTACAGACTCACATATCATCATAATATAACAATAAATAATATAACAGTATTAAAAAATATAATAATATTTTAAAATTTTGTAAATTTTTTCTTTTTTTTTTATAATTATGTAATTTTTATTACTAAACAATTTTCAAAAGACTATGTAGATTTTATAAAAAAAATATTAAATTTTATCGTTTTAATATCATTAGTTTCTTTTTAAGATCTACAAATTTTAGAAATATTATTTAGTTTTACATTTTGATAATTATTTACCTAACAAAATTTTCTCTTAATTTTATAGAATTTGATTTAATATTTTCTAACCAAAAAAAGATTAAAATATTTAAAAAAAATTATAATTTTAAATATATACATATCTATTATTTAATATAAACTTAAAGAAAAATATTTCTGTTATTTCCATTTTTATATATAATTAAGCTAAAATTTAAAAAATTTAATATTGTAAACTATTAATAAGATCTAAAATCAATAAAATTTTATTTTAAATATAAATTCAATTTTAAAAACTTTATTTCTGAATATGATGTAGTAATACAACAATTAAAGTAAAATGTTTATTAAAGACACACAATTTCAATGTTTGTTGTAAGAGTGGAAAGTCTTCGAGATTTGAGTTTAGACTTAAGAGTGAAAGCTAACTCCAAGGTTTCCCGGGAATTTCCGTTTTCTTAATGTGCAGGTTTTATATAGAGAAGCTTACCAGAATATAATATATATATATATATATATATATAAAAAAAAAAAATTGTAGTGTGCAATATAATATGCATATTTCTCGACGCATTGGTCGAATTTTTTTTTTTTGTGTTTTTCTTCCTCGGTCTAACTTCATTTTTTGAAAATCAACTAATTAAGAGGTTTTAGGCAAAACCCCGTAAATTTCCCAAATAAAACAATGTATACAAGATTCAAAAACATGTATATTCTAAATAATAACTATATGTACTAAGTTTTCATGCTACCCAAGCAACTTAAAGTGAACCTTTCTTTTGTCTAACATTCACTAAATGAACCAATATGTATATCTAAGCAAATGGTGGTGGTCTAGTGGCATTTGGGGGGGGGGGGGTGTGGTATGTATCCACATTAGTTTTGGGTTCGATTCTCTCTAAAAACTAAATTATCACTATTTGATTAGTTTGGATTTGGGATTCGGCCCAAGTGGTTTACATGGTGAACTGTAATATGATCGGTACATCCCCTGATATTAGTCGGAAGGTATTCTAAACTCAAGTCAGGTAGTATAGTACGTTTTCGGATTAGTCCACTATATAGCACTAAGTGCGTTTCTCTCAGAGCCGACCAGATTATCTGATAGGATTTATCAGAAAAAAAAAACAATATGCATATCTTAAAACCTAAATATTAATATAATAATAATAATAAAACTACAATTGGATCTCAGGTTGGATAGACAAAAAGACAACTACGTTACCACTTAGAAATGGTCATCTTTCAAATTTGAAACTTCCAAGAAATTTCCCCGCCTTATTATATACATTTGAGAAGTTTCCAAACGCTAACAAGCAATTGACCCTAAATATATTATTGCTGTACTTTACATGTTGTTTAGTTTATAGAACACAAATTACGTTTATATTACTGTATGAGAAAAGCTTATATAACATGCAATTGATCCATTCCGTTTCCAACCAGAAACGGGTTGCAAAAATGAAACGTTTTCAGTACACAAACGGATAAAATATTGTTGCGTTTGATATCCCTGAAAAATATATGGACACCGACGTCAACAACAACGATAAAGCAAATCGCTGCGTTTATATCAGTTTTGACAACAACGACCAATTAATCTCCTCCTTCATCAACTACCTCAAAGCTACTTTCAACCATCATGGGATCTATCAGCTCGATGATCAAAGCGATCGGTTCGCCGAGCGAATTAAGGTTCTTGTGGTTGTTTTCTCCAAGGAGGACACGTTCTCTTCCCCTGAAAATCTTGTGAATCATCTCCCTAAGAAAGACCTTGTCGTGGTACCAGTGCTTTATGGAGTCACGATATTATCGGCGAGGCAGATGGCAGTGCTCGATCAGGTTTTACTAGACTCATCAGCAGTATTACCAGGTCACATATATAATGAAAAACGAAGGTATCTGCATATAGGAACTACAAATTGGCTATAACTTTTTTCCTTACCTAATAGAAAACTCTATTAAACAGAAATTAAATATTAATTTTGTTTATTAATATCAAATTATAGTAAAATTAGATATATAAATAAATTATATTTAAGAAAGTCAATGCAAAAAAAATGATATTCTAAATTTAATGAGTAACATTTGTTATAAAATTTATAATAAATTATTTGGGTAAGATGATTTACTTGGTCTTCAAACATAGGTATGCATAAAAACCTCAATCATGTATATTTTAAAATGATAAGGATTAGTATTATGTTTTCACTATCTCTATCTAATTTAAGATAATTTTTCTATGAATTGTTTTTCTCTTTTGGCATAAAACTTCTATTACAGTGAATTTGAAAATTCTTTTTAAAACTGTTATAAAATAATTATTTTAATTCTAAAGTATCTATTTATATTTTTATTAAAATTTTAATTCTCACCTCTCAGATCTAAACTGTAAGTATAAATTAGTTAACTCTAAGATTATAAGTGTTTATTACCTCTTTAAAAACAATGATAAATATGGTTAAAGTAAACATGAATATGAGTATTAGAAATATGGTAGTTTAAGTAATTTCTAAAAAAAATTCATGAAAAGTTTAAGCAATTTCTCCAAAAAGGTGAAACAAGCCTATATGATCAGTAAGAATAACAAAAGGTTAATGTTCATTAAAAAGTTAGATGTCTATATATTAGTAGCTCATTTACTTATCCGCCCTAACCCAAGTTTTAAACAAATAGTATGTAGAAGACCCGCACGTCTTTACTTTTTAAACGCAGCCCTGAGGAATCATTTATATGAATAATTTTCTTTTTGCAGTGAATACGAATTTATGAAAGAGATCGCCAGGGATGTGTGTGAGAAGCTCTATCCAATGGAAGAGATTGGGATCCACAGGCGGCAAGAGGAGATAGAAAACTTGCTATGCGAGCAACCATGGGGCGTTCGCACTCTAGGCATTTTTGGTAAGCCTGGTATTGGCAAGACGACTTTGGCTATAGCCCTCTTTCGCCATATGTCGGGTGGTTATGATGCTTCTTGCCTCATCACAGATTTTGACACAAAATATAATGAGAAGAGACTTGTGACTATAGATCCTGACTACTTGAGTGAGACTCCAGTGGAGAAGTTTGACCTAAACTGTAATGATTTAAAGCCGATCCTTCGCAAGAAAAGGGTTCTTATTGTTCTGGATGGTGTGCGAAATGCTCCGGACGCAAAGTCGTTTCTTGGTGGATTTGACAAGTTTGGTCCAGGAAGTTTGATCATCATAACTTCCCAAACTAAAAAAGTTCTTGAGGAGTGCGAGGTCAGTGAGTTTTATGAGCTTAAAGGTTTAAACGATGAAGAAGCTCTGGAGCTGTTCACAAAGGGGGCCTTTGGAAATATTGTCATAGAAGAAAATCTTATGGACCTTTCAAAGAAAGAGATTAAGAGCAAGACAATGGTAGAAATGGTATCGACATTGCCTGATGTTTGTGAAGTACTCATTGCAGAAAACAAATATATACGGTTAATCCCATATGAAGAATACGACGAGACCCAAGAAAATACGGAGTTCCAATCTGATAACGATGCTGTGTTGGTATGTCAAATTCTAAAAGATCTTTATTATTCATTTTTAACACATTTTCAAACATCTATTTATAATGTTTCAAATTCAGTTTAAAATTATTGATCGAATAACATATTTGTTTCAACTTGTATATGAATATGATCGAATATGATTTCAACTAGTAACAAACTTAGGTTTTTAAATCATTGATTGAATAACTCTAGGATCCAAAATAACACATATTGTTGCTGTCAATGTAATAATGTATCTTTAGATTTTGAGATTTGGTAGCCTATCTTGATCATCTCTTATCTTATCCTATCTTTTTTTTGTCTCTTTCTTAGGCAACTAGAGATACAGATATCATAACTCTGACCACATCGGACTTGTGCTCCAAGTCTTACCCTCAGAAGAACCTGAGATCCAGACTTTACAAGCGCTTCTCCAAGTCATTACCTCGTAATCTAAGGCTTTACCGATTGGATTATAACTCTATGATCAGATCTTTGTCTGAACACTTACAAAAGCACCATGTTCTACTACAAGGAGTTGCTACTCAACTTCAGAAACTTAGTCAAAGCTTTTCAAACTCACGCGACCACGATTTGCTAGAGCAAAATCTCCAACGTCTCCTTACTCTCTCTGGTGGTTGCGACAGGATCAAACGTTTTCTAGATCTTCTAAGAAAAAGTAGAGAACTGAATCGTAAGGGGAGAAGAGAACTGAAGATTAAACTTGACCGAGATTAAGCTAATGGCTTGGGTCAGTAGTATGTATTATGTCGAATAAACTCAAGTTGGATAAAACTGGGGAAAAACATGTCCATAAACTGTATATAAGCCAATTTCTAGAAATCTTTGTAAAATGGTTTTGATTGCTATATATCAATAAGTTGTATAACATGTAAAATGATTTATATTAAATATCTGGATATATGTTAAATGGAAATTTCAAAAAAAAAAAAGGTAGAGTTGTTTGGTTCAATTTGGACACAAATCCCCTATATATTAATTGAGAAACATTTGAAAAGATGTAACCTCAAGTTTGTATTAATTAAAAAGTAACCTTGCTTAGTTGTCAATCAATTAGCATATCAATTAAACTGACGTGGCGGCTTTATGTTCAATTGAAATTTGCTAGGGAAAAATAATTAGAGACGCATATAACGCATGTAACATAGTTTATATATTTA